TGGAGTATCAACAGCAAAATAAAACACTATGTTTGGTTCACTGACGTTACAGTATTTGTAGTCCAAATGCATTCAAATAGTCTGCTGCTAATAATCCATTCTCCCTAAATAATTAGGTGTTGGACCAAATGGGAAAATAAAAACATACTGTCAAACTCGCAGCCAGACTGTAAATGCATTTGCACATTTGACTTAAATCTCTTTTATACAGTATTGCTTTGTAATGGGTGAATGAGGCTCATACATGTGCTATAGGCACATTTTGTTTTATTTTTATTTATTTATTTATTTCGAGCAATAGTAACATATAACAAGGCAATAAGAAGCATTTGACCCATACAAGGTATCACCTTACATTAACAATGTAGATCAGTGATTTGCTCGAAACAAAGTGGGAAGAAGTCAAACTTATATAAACCCACCCTGGTCTGTCACAAGGATAAGGATAATCACCTTCACTGGCCAAGTATGTTACACACAAGGAATTTGTTTCCGGTACCAATGGCAGCCATCTGCGGCGCCCACTCAACCGATGGCTCTAACCATTGGGGGCAACAGGGGGGGGGTTCAGTGTCTTGCCCAAGAACACTTTGACATGTGGACTGGAGGCACCGAGATTCAGACCTTCAACCTTCTGGTTAGGAGACGACTGCTCTACTCACCGCACCACTGTCGCCTCCTCAATTAAAACAAAGGAACAGAATAATATATATATACCCGTGTAAAAGGGAAACCCCTCCCCCCCAAAAAACATGATATATCTTAGATACACACCATATATAACCACAGGTTATACATTTGATTATATTTAAATATTCATAGATCCTGTGTAATGCACAGTGAGGGGCAAATATTGAGGCCTATAACAGTTAGACTATATATTGTTTATAGCAGAGTATTTTTATATGCAAATATGAACATTACAATGTCTCAAGTGGAACTTTAAATAAACGTGTCTATTTACTGTACAGATATGTTGTGAAAACAGCACTGAGTGCAACTAACCAGCACTCTCTGAGCTATTTACATTTCCATACATGAGAGATGTTACTAGTGTTTTTCAGGCTTCTCTCAGTGGTTACTTTAATTGGATGTTTACAAATGTTGTCACTTAATGCTGTAATAGATACTCGCAGTAGGCTATAATCATGTAATGCTGCATGCATTATGTGACTGCTGCATCAATAACAACTTAAACCTTGTACATTTGCTGGGTGCTACTCATTTTTCACATGTTTTTAGATTTCTTTTTCATACTGCTAGTGTTTCATGACATACTATAATGTAAGAGATGATATAATTTGTCAGATAATGAGTTTTTATTTTATTTGAAGTGCAGATCCATCCATTATTAATACCTCTTATCCTGAACAGGGTCATGGGGGGCTGGAGCCAATCCCAGCTGACACTGGGCAAGAGGCAGGGTACACCCTGGACAGGTTGCCAGTCTAATCACAGGGCTCTGATGAGTACAGATAAAGTACAAAATAAAGAAAATGTACTCTAGTTTCCAGCTGACAATATCATTCCTGCAGTTTTCAGCAAAGCCATCTTCTCAGAGGGAAACTATATGACTGCTGTAAATGCCTGAGGAGAAGAAGGCTAATGTAAAGGAAACTATTCAGTTTCCCAGAAGCAGAAGATAAGCTAGAATTACTGCATCACACTTGTATGCTTCCACCAACCAACCAAGTGTCAGTTGACATGTATGTGTGTCTAGACTCATACATGTAGTGAAGACTGTGAAGAAATTTAATTAAAGATATTAGGTGAATTAGATTTGAAAATATTCAAAATCCTGAGATACTGTGGAAATGAAAATGGACGGATGGAAGTGCAGATAAACGGATGACCCAAAATGGCTAGCACCAGCACAGAGGCAAAAAAAGAGGCACAAGTGAGAAGGAAGTAGCATTTCTTACTTATTTGTGATGTTGAAATTTTGCAAATCTGCATTTTTTATTTGCTTATTTTGACTATAACAACAAAAATGTTGCAAACCATTTCTACTTGGTGATTATTCCATGATCACACCACAAATTACTTCTAAAATGCATAATTGTTGTTTACTCTGAAGTTTTCTGTAGACGGTGCTCATTATTCTTAAAGACCTTGATCAGAAGATCCTTGTAGAGGGGATGGGTTTCCATCCATCTGTTTCTGTGCACATTTGCTGATAAAAATAAAATTGGATTAAGGACTTCCTCACTAACAGGCCTCACGTGGTGAGAATTGGAAGCTGCACATCATCCACACTGGTCCTGAACACAGGCACACCACAGGGCTGTGTGCTCAGCCCAGTTCTCTTCACTCTGTTTACCCAAGACTGTGATGCCATTCACCCCACAAACACAGTAGTGAAGTTTGCAGACGACACCACCGTAGTGGTTCTCATCTCAGACAATGGTGAGACTCACTACAGAGAGGAGATCCAGCACCTGACAAGGTGGTGTTCAGATAACAATCTTATCCCGAACACCAACAAGACTAAAGATGTCATTGTGGATTATAGGAGGTCCAGGAAGACAAAATATGCTCCTCTTCTCATACACGGGGAGGTGGTGGAGCAAGTGGATAACATCAGGTTCCTGGGCATCCACATCACATCTGACCTGGTCTCTGAACACATCCTATCTGGTGAAGAAAGCCCAGCAAAGGCTTTTCTTCCTCAGGAAGCTGAAACGTGCTGGTCTCTCCTCTCAGCTGCTCGCAGACTTCTACAGAGCGACAGTAGAGAGCATCCTCTGTCTCAGTGTGACAATGTGGTACTGGAGCTGCACTGCACAGGACAGAAAGGACTTGACCTGGGTGGTGAGAACAGCTCAGGGCATCGTAGGGAGTCCTCTTCTGGATCTGGACTCACTATACACTGACCAGATCCAGAGGAGGGCCAGACGGATTGCTGCAGACCCCACCCACCCAGGCAACAGTCTGTTTGTGCCTCTTCCCCCCAGGAAAAGGTACAGGAATATAAAGACTCAAACAAACAAACTGAGACACAGCTTCTTCCCCAGAGCTGTGAAATCAATCACCCCCCTAACCCCTAGTCACACACACAACCTCCCTCCTATGGGCAGACACAGAACACTGGACCTCACACCTCTTCCTAAAGACTGAGATTTGCACTGAGCTGCACCTTATAATGTTACTACACTCTTGCTGCTAACATGCTGCTGACCTGATTAGGTCGCATACAACCCTTTTTATTTGCTCATATTTTTATATTGACTTATACAATTGTGTGTTATGTAAATAATATGTCTGTATTTTAAGCCGAGAGCTGCCGGAAAAAATTTTGTTGTGCTGTGCATAATGACAATAAAGATTCTCGATCTTGATCTTGAAAATTCAACACGACGTAGAAAATTGTCATGTCTTATGACTTAACAGACATTATAATAGACACTGAAGATACTAAAAATAGCAGCAGACTAAAAGAGACTTGTGTGTAGTTTGAGTAGACTGTATCCTAACATTAATACAAGCTACAAACAGAAATGCCATTTCCCATCATGTTCTTTACGCTGTTGCCTCACAGCAATATGGTTCCTGGTTCAAATCCTGACCAGGACCTTTCCGCATGGCATTTGCACGTTCTCCTTGTTCTTGCTTAGGTATTTTTTGTGTACTTTCTCCCATGGTCCAACGACATGCAGGTTAGGCTTACTGGTGATTCTAAATTACCTTTAGGTATAAATGTGAGTGAGTGGTCTGCTCCACTCCCATCCTTTGTGGGTAAAAATGACAGGGGTGGGCCCCTAGGGGGGGGCCGTCCCTAGTTTGGGAACCACTGCCATAACCTTTCAAACACACTGAAGCAGAACATAATGAAGCAGAAAACTTGAGTGTCATTAATACAAAGAAGACCTGAACTAAAACCTGTTCAGTCCTGGTATAAATTAATGAACACACTATTTCAATATAGTTATAGATAGCAGTGTATTTTGCCTTTGGTCACAGCTGTTTATTGTCTGATTTTGTTATTTGCTCTTCCAGACACTAGATGGAGACAGTGGGAAAAAATCTAACATCCATGTACATTTCATGTTTCATGGTTGTCAGCTGGGATTTTGATCAAATTTACGGAAACTGACTTAAATTAAGGTGAGACATAAAAGTGCACCAACAACCAGTGGTTGGCTCTCTGAATGTCTTAGGTTTTGGGAAGATAAAAGTCACAGTTCTGGATTCAGTTGAAGGGATTTAGGCTCACTTCTTTCAAGAATTATTTCACTGTTCACATCATCACATGCACATTAGTTCTTGCAGTTGTCAAAATATGTCACACCCTTAACTGTTATGAATTTCCAACAAATTAAAATGTGAAAAAATATTTCTGGAGTGACTACTATAGCCGAAATTACGAAATTAATAAACTGGCCAAAGTTATTGAGAAAAACTATAATAATGGGCTTCAGATCAATAATTCCCATTTCAATGTCAAATTAAATTCCATGTGTGGTATTTTAATAGCCAGAATCTCTTAACTAAGTTCTTTTTGCTCAAAGTACCTCAAAATCTGGATTGAATGTGTGTGCACGTCCACGCGTATGTATGCAAATAGTTTTTTTTTTTTTACATTTCATTATAATTTTTACATGTAGAATGTAAGTATGCCTATAGGCAAACAGACTGTAATAGCTACGTAAACATCTTAATGCTTTTATAAACTGCAGTTCTCATCTAAAATCATATTTCTTTTCATTATAGGCTCTCTAAGTAAACGAGCGACTTAACGTTTGAATAGTGCATGCATGCTAAATTCTGTGCCTAATCCATCTAACTATCAATAAACTGCACTTCTGCAGGGCAGGGCCCGTGAATTTAGCAGAATAAATATGTGGGTTCCTCCTCAAACAATACCATGGGGTCTGCATTGGCATCCCGCCATCCCCCTAGAGCTCATATGTTACATCCATTTAAAATGTTCTAATTGGTTTAAAATCAAACTGTGGCTATATAAACCCAAATCTGGTTGGTTCAGAGCAACGCCAATCACTGTTCGCGTGATCAGGTTACACAAATAGTCGAATAGTTGCGGAACTGGGGGAATGAAAAGAGCACAGAAGGTGGCGGATGAGCTTTGTCCTTTAAGCACAATTTTATAGTTTTGTGGGCCCGTTATATTTTTTGTCTATTTGGGCTCGGATATATATATTTTGAACCGCTGTGAAAATGGCGCAGCCAGACAGCAAGAAAATATTCTTTGAGAACTTGTCTGGAGCAGGGAAAGCCATCGCGGTGCTGACGAGCGGAGGGGATGCTCAAGGTAAACGGCAGCGAGTTCACATATTTGTATCTGTGTGGACATGCCGGTAGAGATGCAGAAAGATAGTTACCCGTCCTCAGTGTGTGATGCTGTAGCCTAGTGTACGCGACGTGGCGTAGCGTTTATCCCTAATAATATATAAAGCAATGCGCAGTACCCAGATACACTACAGTAAAACTATACGTTAATGCTATGAACATTCATCAAGGAAGCCGGCCGGTTAGCATGCTAACATCCTGCTATAACTCTGACATTATCTACCTCAGTCAGTGACAAGACTTGGATTTGTCACGGCGCAACAGCGGCTTAGAAGGATGTCAAGGTCCAACTGTGCCTTGTATTCATATTCGCACACCAGTATTGATCATTCCATCATATCAGAGAAGCTTATTGTTTCACTTAATTATCTCACAGTCTAATTAAATGAGGTATGCCAGCCATAACACCGGAGGCAACTGCATTGCGGCTTGTAATGGAGGACATGTGGGTTACTGACGAACAGAAGGGAAGTGGATGGAAACGCTAGGCATGTTCGTTTTCTGGGAGACTGAGGTTATGGTTTGCCTCCACGGTGCGGGCCAGCGGTAGGATGCCTGTATCCTTGGTGTACGTGAGGAACTGCATACACTTCGTCTAGGCTAAATCTCCCAGCTGGCTTTGCGTCAGAGGGGAAACTGCGCTCACCAGTTCATCTTGTAATTTGACCGAAACGTTATACACACTTTTAAATTACATTTTAATAGTATTTATCTGCTATGGTATTTATTACTGAAAATCAGTCGCCTCAGGCATTGATTTTTCCCTCTTTTGGAAATTAAGCGTCTTGAAGACAAATGACAGTGGATCAGACCTGCACAGTGCTCAAAAGGAATTTTGGACCATTCTACCCCACAGAACTGCTTCAGCTCAGACATCTTGTGTGAATGAATGCTCTTTGTTTGAAGTCATTATGTAGATATACTTAAGCATTTAGAGTCATTCTCCTGCTTCAACTGCTGGACAGCTACACCGATATCTTCATAAACTTTAAAATCCATTTTAATGATAACAAGCTGTTCACACTCAGAGGCTCAAAGAAGCCCCGAATCATGATCCTCCCTCCATCATTCTTCACCTCTAGGATGATGTTTTTGTACCATAGGTAGTGCTGCGTTCTGTGTTCCTCCTAAACAATAGTTGTCTTGTTGAGTGTCAAAGATACTTTTTGGCAAACTTCACTCATGCAGTGATGTTTATTTGGAAACAGTAGCTTCCTCTGTGGTAGAGTCAGAACAGAGATGTTAACCATCTTGATTGGACTCCAGCTTTGCTAGCTCCTGACTTTTGTCTGCTTGTAATAGTAGGAAAAGCACTCTAACCAATAACATGAATGATGGTTCTGTTCTGTTCAGCTATCCCAGTAAGTCGTGGCAGTGAGACAGTGAGTGGCCCTGAGGCAGACCATACATGGCAGAAGCTGAATATCATTGCCAGAGGGCATTATGTAGCGTAGGCTTGCACCTTTCACTCACACTGCATGAGAAAGTGTCAGTCATGCAGAAGTCATAGTCCAAAATGTAGTGATCACTTGCTATGATAGACTCCGGAACCTCAACAGGAAATGTTAAAGACCTTTGTCTCTAAGAATCTGCAAATTCTTTCACTAGCTGCCTCACAATCTCAGTGCTCTCTGTCCTGAATGTGATTAAACCAGACATCCATCCATTTTCTATACCGCTAAGTCCCAAAAAGGGTCACAGGGGGCTGGAGCCAATCCCAGCCGGCTGCGGGCGAGAGGCAGGGTTTAAACCAGGCAGTTTGTGTAATTGTTATGTAATGAGATGAAACATCATGCACTGTTAGGTGAATAGTTGAGCCATTTCTGGTGGTTATGTGTGCTTCACTGGTTCTCTGACTCTCCATGCACAGAAAGATTGATATATTCTAAAAGCCTTTGACTTCACAGTGCACTTTATCTTAGATGTTTTGACTTTCCTCTGATATGTTCCTTCCCTTTATTACTGTCTTTTTTTACTGCCACAATGGCTTAAACCTTTGTGGAGCTTAGCAACGACATTACATGACTGCAGAAGGAGCTGCAGTATTCACAAGTGAGTGTGGAGAAAGGAAGTCCAGTTCTTTCTTTTGTAGTTTATGTCCTCCAGTAAGCCAAGTTCCTGTCTGATTGCTATGAGTAAACTATTATTCCCACCTTCAGTGTTTTAAGCTCGCCTGCCATTGACATTCAAGTAACAGAGCAGTGTCTAATTAGTGAGTTTGCTTGGTCTAACTGCAGAGGGAGTAACTGAGAGGCTGTATGAGCAACTAGGAAACCTTTTGACCAAAAATGGCTGTGTGCTGTGATGGGAAGGTAATTTGGTTGAATCCACAGATAGGCAGTATAACACAGATTGTCTGAGCCTGTACTCTGTGCACAGTAACACACATTTTCCTATACCTTCACATTTATACTGTGAGAGGGAATGAAAGCTGCAGTTCTTGATGACCGAGATAAAATGAGTATCCATGCAGCACAACAGTGGACAGCCATGAAATATCAGCATTTTCCACTGACTTGCTATGGTTAAAAGCCATGTGTTTTCTCTCATTAGAGGTTACCTATTTACCCCAGTCATTGCAGAAATGAAGTATTGAACAGAATGTACTTTATGGTTAAGATTCTTTGTTTTGTTTTAAATTCTTTTCTCTTTCAGGAATGAATGCTGCTGTACGTGCTGTAGTTCGAATGGGATTATATGTGGGAGCAAAAGTTTATTTCATTCATGAGGTGAGTCCATATATTGTGGTGATCATTATTAATGCCTATTGTTTTTTTTAAGTGGGCAAGAATTAGGATGGGAAAACATGATTTGCAGCCACATTATCTAATCTAATAATTATCTATCATGACAAATGTCTTAAATTTTAAATGTATTTAATGAAAGGACTTCTACCCCTTTCTTATATACAGACCTAGACGACAGTAGTGTCTACAGACACAGTCTACATTAGTGAATATATGGATGCAGCACATGTTAGAGGAGCTTTGGCTAGTGCTGTGCTGCTCGCTCAGTCTGTGGTCCCAGCACATCAGTGTACATGCTGGTCCTGCTTGTTCACTGTTTTGTTACATAACTGACTTTAGGGTTTTGCAGATGCCTCGCACGCCGGTACCGCAGTGCTCTGGGTGTTTTCCTGCATGCTTCTGCAGGACATTGTATGAGGATAGACAAACTTCAAACCATCTGTTTTAAATTCCTGAGTTTCACAGTTACAGTACATACGCCGATCAGCCATAACATTATGACCACTTGCCTAATACTGTGTGCACAGGAGTCAATGCAGCAGTTGGTTGACACTCCTGTCACTCTGCAGCTCACTGCATCTTTTGTGAATCTGTTTGCTTTCAAAGTTATACTGTCAGGAAGAGCACAGATGTGTCGACCATTCGGTCTAAAAGGAGTGAAAACTGGAGATAATGTTTCAGTCCATGACCGTATCGGTGGTTCACTGTTTATCCCTTAGACCACTGTCAGTAGGTACTGACAGACCAGGAACACAAGACCTGCAGTCTTGGAGATGCTCTGACCCAGTCGTCAGCCATCACAGTTCGACGTGATGTCAGTCACTCAGATCCAACACATCGACTTCGAGGACTGATGTTCACTTGCTGCCTGAGATACCCCACACTCTGACAGGTGCTATTGTAACAAGATAATCAGTGTTATTCACTTCACCTGTCATGGGTCATAATATTATGGCTGATCATTGTATATGTGCTGGTCTAATGCTTTGGATTAGGTTGAAATGTTTATTTAATTCTGAGTGAAGAAGACCTACCAAAGCAGTTTGGACTATATATCCTCTCAGCTCAGTTAAACTCTCTTTTTATTAATCAGGGATATCAGGGTATGGTGGATGGTGGAGAAAACATCAGGGAAGCCACATGGGAAGGTGTCTCCAGCATGCTACAAGTGGTGAGTAATTATCATGGGCAGCATTCTACACATCTGATGGAGTCTAAGTAGGTGCTTTAGAAACAGCTTTATGAAATAAAAAGTTATACTTGGCTCTTAAAACCAAGTAGATAATTAGGTTAAGCAAACAGAGTAGTACATTAAAGAGCAATATACAATGTGGCTATAAGATAAGGCTGTATTGTGGTTAAAGCGGACATTAACTAACTTCTCAGCAGTTTTTACTCTTATGAAAGGGTCCTAAAGCATGACTGTGTAACCCATATTGAACCAAACTGAGCTATAAAAAGTGTCTTAGATGAGGAGAATGTTTCAAGCTGAAGAGATTTTCATCCTTGTCACCATCAGGGTGGGACTGTTATTGGCAGTGCCCGCTGTAAGGAGTTTCGCACTCATGAGGGACGTTTGAAGGCTGCTCATAACCTGGTGAAGCGTGGCATCACCAACCTGTGTGTCATCGGTGGAGATGGGAGCCTGACAGGAGCCAATCTTTTCAGGGAAGAATGGAGTGGACTACTGGGGGAATTGATGGAGAAAGGTACTCGGGCAAGAGTAATGTTAACCACAGTGGGAATGGCAGTAGCTCCTAATTGTACCAACCTGGTAGCTGGAAACTGGGGTACTGATTTCATTTATAACAATACCTAAATCCTTTCCTGTCTAATCTCAAACTGTGGAAAAGATTTATGTATGGCGTACACTACTGTTCAAAGGTTTTTGGCCACCTCCATTTTTCTAGCTGTTGTTAGTGTAATCCATGAGCCAAACTCACTCTACCTTTAGAAAGTCTGGACACTGTGGTGCCATTCCATCATTTGACACCTACCATCTTGATCTGTTCTTCTACACAACCTTGAGGTGGGCTTTTCTGGGGTCTATATCCTGCTATGGGATGAAACCGTCAGGGTGGGGGTGTCGTATGTTGGTGAACACACCCATGTAGTGCTGGATTTTAAAAAAAAAATGCTAACTAAGGTCATCCAAATATTTTTGTTCTTTGACCGCCTCCTGAGTTGTGCATTGAAAAGCTGGATTCAGTCAGCTAAGTGTGCACTCTCATAGTCAGTCACTGGTTTCAACTGGTTTCTCTTTGGCAGCATACAGATGTCCAAAGAAAGAGCACTGTCTGTCACCCCAGCAGAGTGAGAGCCTCTGCTAGAGGTCTACATGGAGTTTAAATATTTAATAATTTGAAGTAATTCTGCAGAAGTATATGGCATAATTGGTATAATCTCCAGAGCAAGTACGAACATAACAAGAACCTGGGAAAAGGTGAAAGTAAAAGTACAAGAATATTCTGCAAACTGGTATTACTGTGAAGTATTACTCTTAGTACTACTCCCCATTATTGTTACAGGTTTTTCTCCATGGCTTTGCCTATTGAAATGACAGTTTTCAAAACAAATTTGACACCTGCTTCAAAACATTTAGTTTCTACTGCACAACATTGCAGCATTTCTAATTCTTTTCCTACAGATAATTGTTTAATACATTTCAGCAAATGATTAAGTAGAGTTGTCTTAAATTATTTCACTCTTCACATCATATGTTAAATCCTTAACTGTTATGAATTCTACATGCATAGATAAGTCACATCAGAAGGATTTCCTGCTCCTTCAGGTTTTGTACATTTTACGAGTGCTGTTTTTTCCATCTCAATATTAATTTGCAATGCAGTAAAATGTGCAAAAAAGTGAAGGGGGAATCCTTTCTGAAGCAACTGTGTATACTGTAAATTCTGGCCAATTGTAATAAAAGGCTTCAGATCAATTAGTTCCCTTTTGTTTTTAAAGCACATAGGGAAAAGCCAGACTATGGAAACTTGGAATTGTTTCAGTGCCAGGTACACTTACAATAGCTTGACAAAGGACTCTTTCCTAAATTTTCCACATTACTAGCCATGCATAAAAAATTGCCCCTTGCAAGAAAGTACAATGCACACTGACTATGTGATGGTAAGAGTATGGCTCCTCTTGGTCTGGCCCCTAATATGGAGCACTGACAGTCCATGTAAATTATTTGCTCTTGATTCAGTCCATCTCTCAATACTCTCTATTTTCTCTAAACCCATGTATAATAATCACTCCAATGTCAGTGAGTCACTTCTTGCTCTGACAAATTTATCTGGATAACCTGTTAATTGATATACTGTTTGAAGAGAACCCCCCTGTTTAAGACAATCTGGAAGGAACACATTGTACACTAGAATTCCTGCTTTATGGTTGTATGCCTCTGGCGATGAGTCAAATTCACAAGAAGGGGACAACTCTAATCAGTTCAGCCTTGTATCCAAGTGGACACTTGTGCCAAATTTGAAGAAATTCCCTCAAGATGTACGCATTCACTAGAATGGGCTGTACAGATGTGAACTGTATTTGTAAAGTACCTAACCAGGGTCCTCTTGGTATTTCTGGGCATTGTTGTCAGTGTAGAACTAGTGGCTATGAGTGTTGCCTTTGTGGGTGTAGAGGTGGAGGTTTAACGCCAAGGACACAGGTGCAAGTCAGTTTGTTGATTGGTGATCACATGATATGTAAAGACACATGTTGTGATCACCAGTAAAGAGAGAACTCACTGCTGTCACACATGCTGTGAAGAAGGTTTAGCAGATTTGTTAGCCTACTGATTAACACATTTCTGGAGAAGAAGCTGTAGGTAGGGGTTGCATTATAGCCAATCTGAGGGGGATTGTATTGTAAAGCAGTGATTTTTCTTGCAGTACAAAGACCTGTTTAGGTTTTTCCTTGAGACTGAACTTTCCATTGCTGCTCATCCTGTGATATTATGTCAACAAGCTGTGACTGAAGTGAAAAACGAAAAGGAAGCATTGGTCTAACCCTAACATCCTGATTCTTTCAGGTTTGATTGAACCTGATGCTGTTCAGAAGTATTCTGCCCTTCACATTGTGGGAATGGTCGGCTCGATTGATAACGACTTCTGTGGAACCGACATGACAATCGGCACTGACTCTGCTTTGCACAGAATCATTGAGGTGGTGGATGCAATTATGACAACTGCACAAAGGTGAGGGGGGATCAAGCAACTGTAGTGTTACATTTGGTGATGTAAGTAGTGGATCCTAAATAAAAAGTCTATTAGTACAAATTCCATCTGATGTCCTGTATAGGACGACTGTGACAGAGCCTTTCCTAGTTGTAACTTAAAATTGCAGTATAAACATGGATATCTAAGGATGATATATGTTTAACTTCGTAACACACTTGGTTCTTGCACCAAATATATGTACCCCAAGAAAATGCAACATTACAGCAACATTAGCAGTTCAGCTCAGTTCACACATTCATTCATGTCTATATTGGCAGTAACGAGTAAACAATATTAAAAAATAGTAAATAAGTAATGCACAAAATCCCAGTCTTCATTATATATGATATGCCTCTGGATAGCATTACTGTCAAGCACATCCTTAAAACCCCACATGCCTGTATCTGCCAAAGTTTTCACAAAATGCACACTGAGCCATACTTTCTGTTCTTATCTTTCAGTCACCAGAGGACATTTGTGTTAGAAGTCATGGGCAGACACTGCGGGTGAGAATACGCTTGCTAAACTTTATATGCTGTAGTAGATCTGAAAAGATAATCGCTCAGGCAGTAACAAAGCATTATCACCTGTTTTTATACACCATATGTTGTATCATAGCTACCTGGCCTTGGTGAGTGCCCTGGCTTGCGGAGCAGATTGGGTGTTGATTCCTGAGATGCCCCCAGAGGATGGCTGGGAGGAGAAGATGTGTGAAAAACTGTCTGCGGTAACATGATCAGCCTGTACTTGTTCACATAGTGAAGCATATCAACTGTATTGTATCAGTCTCAGTGTTATAAAATGTTTCTCATTTAACTCAACAGTGTTATACTTGGATTTTTTTATTTTTTATTTTTTTGATTTGAGAACATCTATTGTTATGATTCAGACCCGCTCCAGGGGCTCAAGGCTGAACATAATCATAGTTGCAGAGGGAGCCATTGACAGACATGGGAAGTCTATAACCTCTAGCTATGTCAAGGATGTGAGTACCTGAATGGAAAAAAAATGGGGGAAGCCAGAAGCATGGAGACCTGACTGATTCGCTGGAGCCAGTATATTTAGTAGGATTTTAATGTGATTGGGGAAAAAAGATGCATCTTGCTTCAGATAAGATGATGATGCCTGCTAATCCGATAATGCTGTGGTGATAAGCGAGAGGATTAGCAGGATATTGCTCATTTAAAAAGCGCAAAGGCAAGTTGCAATAACTAAACTCTCTGTTTGCAGCTTCCAGGCTGTCATCATCTGGCCCCTGTGCTTCTGAAAACCCATGTCACAGCCACTGTCTCAGTTTTTCTGTCATGTTGTTTCTCCACCACCCCTCCTTGTAGAACCGAGCAGGGATGAAAAGGCTGAATATCATAATTGTAGCTGAAGGGGCAATTGATCGTAACAACAAGCCCATTACCACTGACTATATTAAGAATGTAAGTACAGACCTTTGTGGAAAGTTCCAGCATCAGCTGCCTTTTGTATAGTGCCTCCTGCTGTACTGCTCCCCTGCTGTGGCTTTGACTCTGTTGCTGTGTTTCTGGAATGCTTTATCAGATACACTTGCTACAGTAGTTTGGTAAGATCCCTTTGACTATACTACTCTTCTAGCCATAAGAATCTGACCAGATATAGTACCCACACTAAACCTCACCCACAGACATTTGTCACTGTCGAATTTGATTTATTTATAAATTATAAGTACTTTATGCAGTTTTTTTTTTTTATTGAATATGTATTGACACATTAGTTGTAAATTAGCTTATATGGATTATCACAGTATGTTACAGCCCTCTAGAGTGTGGATACCTGAACCGAGCCCGATGGGACCCATTGGTTACCCAAGGGTTCATACGTCAGACTTAAGGCTAGATGGCTGGAGCACTCAAATGTCTGCTTCATTTCATGATAAGGGGAAAAACACCATTAAAAACTCAACTGCGTTGGACTTGGGTCAGGTTTGAACATTTTATACTGTAAGCTTGTCTGGTTCGGACACCGCACTCTCAAGCACGGGTCGGGTTTGGACAGAAGAATGTGGCCCGATCCATGCTCTATGGCCCTCTGCTAACTTTTATTCATTTTGTGAAGCGTTTTGTTTTGTTTTACAGTATAGTAAGTATCTGTGTTGTTCAGTATAAGCTAGGAGCTCCCTGCTAACATGACTGAAAACTTAGAATGGCTTGCTTGTGGTTTGCTTTTTCCCCTTCTCTTCAGCTTTTTTGTGTTTGTGCTTCGTGTGTGATGTTTGTTCATGTATGTATATATTTTTGCATATACAGTAAATTTATTTCACACTATAGGTTTATTGCAGACATAATTTTACATGTAGATATATTATTAAAGTGCATGAGACGATGAATGTAGTAGGACTTAACATTAAGTTTCCAAAAGTAACAGTTACAGCAGTATTTTCCTTTAGAGAAACGATGGCTATCAGTGCTAAGACCTGTGCATTTTACTTTCCTAGCTTGTTGTGAAATGCTTGGGCTTTGACACGCGAGTGACAATCCTGGGGCATGTACAGAGAGGAGGGACCCCATCTGCTTTTGACCGCATCCTGGTATGTTCACCACTACAGTTACACTACAGTTCAAAGTATAGAGAGTAGAAACAGAGTTGTAATAAATTGTCAGTTAATCAACAGACAGTTGATCTGCGACTATTTTTATAATCAGTGTGAACCGTTGTAGTCATTTTTCAAGAACAAATGTCAAACATGTTCTGTTTGCAGCTTCATTGTCATATATGATGGCAAACTATCTTTGGCTTATGGATCGGTGGTCATTTAAAGCATGCTACAGAACTAGGTCATCTATTGCTGTCAGATGTTTCACCTGCCTTTTTTTTTTTTTTACTAATCTCTGACATATACAGATTGAATCAAGATAATTGTTAGTTGCAGGCCCGATAGAAAACTGATTATGCTTGATCTTAGAACATAATAGATTTCTGTGTTTTCCTACAATAAAAGTGCTATTACTCACTGTAGCATTTATAGTAGAAATGATGTAAGAGTTTGTTTTAAGTCTCTGTAGACATCATTTATGTTCTTCATTTGAGGTGTTTGGTAGGAAGAGTCCAGTTGTCCACAACAGTTTGTGTTTAATCCTGTGTGTATCTGAGGAGAAATGACTCCATGTTTCAGGTTAAGCATATTAATGGATGTGTGGCTCAGCATGGGAAGCGCTGCATCACAGACAGATCTTTTCATGTCTAGCATAAGCAAACTAAAACTGAAGTAGGTATGGTAAATATGAAGAATTCACTCTAATTTGGGTCCAGAGTGGAAAAAGAAAAAAATGAGTTGGAGAGGAATATGTTAGTAAAGAAATCAAGCTGAGTAGATGTTGAGGAAGAGGATGCATTTTAATCTGTGTTTTTGCTCATGCAGGCCAGTCGTATGGGTGTGGAGGCTGTTCTTGCCCTTCTGGAGACCACGGCAAACACACCAGCGTGGGTGGTCTCTCTGTATGGGAACCAGGCTGTACGCCTGCCTCTGATGGAGTGTGTACAGATGGTAGGTATTGGAGTGGGCCTGAAACAAGTAGAGATACACACTTAGAAAAGTACAGAAGGTGAGAAGAGAGGGGAACTACAAAGCACATACAAACCTAGGAGATGACTCAAAGGCAGAGTCAGTGGTGACAGGTTGGGGGAGCTCAAGTAATAATTACAACGTAGCACTAACATTCACAAGGGAGTTGTATTTGTTTTTGACACAGTAGTGTCTGGTAAATGACTATCCAGAACGTGTTTCAGGGATAATGATGTAATCCATGTTCATAGATGTACAAAGAAGCTTTGTTGTTGTGACCAGATTCTGACAAACAGAACTGAGGAAAATCTCACCACTGTTTTTTCAGAAATGGCTCAACAAAGGCAGGCAAGGCCTGTTCTGACCTATAGGTCAAAGCAAGGTTAGATATTAGTTACTTTCCCCTGGAACTGTTGATAGTTACATGTTCACTCATTGTTTTCTCACTTTGGAAAGCAGTGTTTATTGTTAAACTCTTTACAGAGACTTCAAAGATCAGTCTGTGCTTGCATATATTTAATATTAACTGATATAAAATAAATAGCCTTTTTGTTTGTGTGTACAGGAAGTACAGTGTAAGAAATAATGCTGACTTCAAACAATAAACAAACTCCTCTTTTCCTCAGACTCAAGAGGTTCAAAAGGCCATGGATGGGAAGCGGTTTGAGGAAGCAGTTAAGCTTCGGGGCAGGTATGACTGAAGGCCTGCCAGGACCAGACCATTACACCAAAAGCTAATACTTCACTCACAATCAACGCATCAGGTTGATTTTGTTTACTGTAGACAAGTGTAGTATGGAAAATGGACAGGCTGGTGTTTTTACTCCGGATCCAGTCAACAATCAATAGGAAATAATCATTGAAACACAGATAATTCAAAATGCATAACACTGGCACTAAAAATGTACCACACATTTCTTGATTGTCTTGTGTTTTATTGTAGGAGTTTTGAAAACAATCTGAAGACGTACAAACTGCTGGCTCATCGTAAACCAGAATCCGAACTGCCAACTGTAAGTCACCTCACCACACCTTGACCTTTCCTTTGGAACTCTTGACAGTGGGTACATTCAAGTCTCTTATGAGTACCATTATTTCTCTCACTTGGGTCTTTTCGTCGTCTTAGTCCCGCCTATGTAAGATGCAAGGAAAAGATGAGGAGAGAGTACTCGAGGAAACGTGTTATTAACAACATGAGACGTCCTTTCCTCAGATCCTTCATCTGAAGTGTCCATTCACCAACTGATTTCTGATAGAGGGGTGTGTCAGGTCACAAAAACTTGTGCGAAGGGTGGTCTCATGTATCCTCAGTCATGGTTCCTCCAGCACTGTCCTCGCTCCTTGGTCCTCAGAGCCGATATATATAAGAGACGTGGAACATCCTCAGTCCTTAGTCAACCGGAACTGCTTCCGTTTTGACAGAGGACATAGGAACGATCTTATAAGCGACATGAGATGTACCTAGTGAGGGGGTTGTCAGCTTTGTCAAATCCTAGCACACACCAGAAATGCACACTAAATCAGAGTTGTTATTTCACACATACTACAGCAGTAGCTGTCATAAAGGTGCAGTGTTTTTGGATAGTTAAATTAGGCTCACCAAGCCAGTGAGGTGTTAGATTTTTTTATTACACTGTTCAACGGATCTGCCTGTAAATAATGACTCAGCTACTGCAGCCATGTTGCACTGTGCTGCTGATGTTTTTAAAGATGGAAAAATGAGGCTTGCTCACTAAGAAGTGCTTTGTAAATGTGCATTTTGGTCAGATGGGGTACTGCAAGTATTTATTTTTTTTTGTGGTTGGGTACATTACAGCATGTTAGTTACGCTAGCATCTGTTTTAAATAGTGTTAGCTGTTTCCTCTTGCTAAGTGGAAAAAATGAGGTGTCTTATAATTATGGTGACCAAAACTGTACCTGCTTTCTGTGTTATCCACGGTATATTTGCAATAAATCCTGTTGTTGTAGTCACTGAATTCTTCATATGATGCCCAGGTGGCTCAGTATTGGTCTGCTGTGCAGTGATATCAGATGACACCTGGCTCCCGACAGAGGGGCGTCTTGTTCAGCCCTGCCGGGAGCCACTGCAGCCTGCTGCTGGGGCTTAAAAGAAGGCAGCTCAGACTGAAGTGAGGTGTAGAATCAGCATGGCAGATTCCATACTGTGGAACCTGCCTCAGTGTTTGGCTCTCCTTGTATCTTTGGTAATGACCATTGGAGACCCAGCATGTAGCTGTGAGCTAACTAGGAACGATTTATTGATTAACCCCGCAGCATTTAAATAGTGCAATAACAACTGAAACATGCTCTTTATGTATTGTTGTAATTGTGATCATAAAACTATTTTACTGAAATTTAATATCTGTATTCTGTGTTTAATGGCCCCAGAGCAACTTCAATGTGGCAGTGCTGAATGTTGGTGCACCTGCAGCAGGCATGAATGCTGCTGTCCGTTCGGCTATCAGGGTGGGCATCTCTGAGGGCCACAAGATGTTTGCTGTCAGTGATGGGTTTGAAGGATTCTACAAAGGACAGGTGGGTATTGAAGCACTAATATTTTGATACACATGTTGGACTACTGCATAGTAGTACAATCTTCCAGGGATGTAATCACATAAAGATTTTATGTTATAATTTCAGTTGATTTATCAAAACATTTACTATTACAGAATAATAGTTGTTTTTTTTGTTTTGTTTTTTTCTTACAGTCAGCAAATTCCATAAAGTGACAAAAACCTACAAAAATGTCATGTACTCACTGTAATGTCTGTGAATCCAGACCCTGGTTTGGTTTGGTCTGTGCCATAGAGCTCCACTGTTGTCCAAACCCTATTAAAAAACAGACCACACGGCTGTGTGTTGATATGTGGAGTATGAGAGACTACCAGAGTAGTGTAAACAGAGCAGAGATAGTCCTCATATGTCTCTTTCATACTTCAGAGACTGTAAAATGTGATGACTGTTCTTAGCCTTCAAGGCTGTGT